GAGGCCCTGCGTCGCCGATGCAAGGGCGCTTGCCGTCGCCCTCGTGGCCGCCATGCTCAGACGGCTCACTTCCGTCGACGTCCTCAATGGCGGGCTGTGGAACACCAGCGGGCGGCGGCGGGAGGGGCGCTGGCACGTCCAATGCAGAACCAGGGGTCAGACCTGTCAGCTCTCGCAACTGGTTTGGCACTCCTGCGATGAGAGACCAGCCTCGATTGGCTCAGGGCTCGCCTGCAACAGCTTGAACCAGGCGGCTGTCGCCGTCGCCTCGAACAATATAACGCCTTTCTTGAAAAATGTCAGCCTGCCCGATGGCGCACTTCAAGTACTTGCTCTGGATACGTCTGTTATCGTAGTGCGTGGGTCCACAAGGCACGTGGATCCGTATCCTGCCCACCCCGTCGTAACTTTCCTCTTTCAGGTGATCGAGGAGGGCCAGTGAAGGCACGACAGGACTCGACTGCTTGAGTTCTCTTGGGAGCAGCTCCGTTGGGTTGCACATGACTAGACATCCCTCATGTTCGGGAGGAGCGCTGTCCCATCGGAGCATGGCGTTCCGAGGCCCGACACCAAGCCCATCAGCGAGGGATACCAATGGCAGAACGCAGGGGACCTCCACAGCAAAGACGTCAATACTGTTGGACGTGGCAGCAGCGCCACCTCCTCCCCAGACCTCCATAAACTGCACAGTGACGTCAGTACCCCTGCTGAAACCCCTCCTGTCCTGATATGACTGGATGAATTTCTTCCTCTCGCCGAAGTGTAAGCACTGGAAAAGGAGCAACCGTTTGACGCCGTCCACTGTCACCTCTTTCGTGATGTAAATATGGGGCTCAAGGGCTCAAGCGAGCTCGACAAATATTCCGAAATCATCCTGAATTCAGCATGCTCTTGGGCGCTCATCTCGACCTGACCGTCGCCGTCTATGGCAGACAGCTCGCGGTCGCCACGGCCATTCCCTCCAGGATGGCCATGGTCGTCGTCGGCGTCGCCTGAGAACTAAGAACTCAGGCGCCGCCCACAAAACTGCCCAGAGCCCTCCTCAGGGCCCCCGTAGAGTGCCATGATGGGAAAGGGTCAGGTGGATTAGTAGAGGGTCACCTCCTCCTCATCTCCTCATCCTGCTCACCTCCTTCCATCCCTTCCAATCCCACCCTGACCGTGCCCTAGGGGATCTGCAGAGGAACCTGTGCGTGCATGAGCGGCACCTACGTTGACCTTTGCCGCCACCGTCGCCGCCACCTGGGCCGCAGCCGCCCCTAACGTCGGGCAGGTCGCAGCAGCTGAAGTGGTCCACACAGTGTGTAAAACTGCCGCACGGCAACTCTGCCAGTGATTTTGCCGCGCTTGCTCGGCTGTAGAAAAGCCAAGTAGTTGTCCCACAAGGCTTGTCTGTTCAGGCCTTCCACCTCTGGCAGAGTGCGGGAATCATGAAGGCTGTCGACCAGTCGCATGGACGACGCATTCCAAACGAAACCACTATTTCTCGCTGCATCTGCAAACTTGTACCACGAAAGCGGGCCCTCGCCGACGCCAACGTCGATGCGCACCCGCCTGATGCTAAGAATCTGGGTTCTGTGCTATAGCTACTGGGGCGATGGCCCTAGGCCCTAAAAAACACAACAATATCGTTTTCCTCGCCCTCCTCCTCGCCCTCCCCTCCTCGCCCTCCTCCCCACTGCCTCCTCCCCTCCTTCGAGGCCCGCTGCAAGTACGTCGTTTTCTCTTGGGGGGGGGGGGGGCAGGGGAAACCGGCATGAGCCATCTCCACGCATTAGGCACATTAGGGCCACAATCTATTCGCGGCAGCTGGGAGGAGGGGGGCAAGGGGCAGGGCACGAGGAGGAGAAAGAGGAGGAATGATGATGGGAGGCGGGAGGAAGGAGTATATACCATTGCGGTAGCACCCAGGGCCTCCTAGGCGACCCTATCGCTTAGGCCCGAGCCGTCGAGGAGCATGGCGTCCACATCAACGCGCATGCCCCCAAGAAAAGACGGGTGAGCCTCGTGGCCACCTCGTGCGCTTCAGGAGCATGCGACCTGAACTTTCAGATGATGACGTCTCTCATGCAAGGCTCGCCCAGACAACAATCGCTATGAGCAGTTGCTGGTAGCAATCGAGCTGCTGGTGGGCGTGGGCGTAGACGGCCCGAACAAAGCCTTGAAACTGACGCCAAAGCGCATCACAACCGTCGAACCATTCCCTCGTCCACCCGTTAGCGTCATTCAGATGTCGCCGCAACACGTCGGCAGCGTGCGAGTGTACGATGTGAAACAGACACCCTTTTCTCGGCACAGTGAACGCTCTGGCCTCGCATGAGCTCGGCCATGTGACACAAGCAGCTAAGACCCTACGTGAGAAGCCCACCCACCCATCCACAATGCAAGAACTTGAATACAGTCATCCACTCTCAAAAACAAAATGCGTCAGTCATCAAGTGCAAAATTTGGGGTTCGTCCACGCTTGGGGGTTGCCCTTCAGTAGTCCAAGTGCGCGAGAACGGGTGGATGAATCGCCCCAGATGCCGTGCAATCACAAGTTTCGTGCCCCAACGCCATTTGGCAAACGACGGGACGCTCGTTGCTTCCACCATCTGGGCAAGTGCGTGGACGCCTCGCCTCCTGAGATCCATGGAGTAGTTAGCAAGCCTGCATAGGCCAGCGTTACAAAGTAGCGCCACATGCGCCACATGTACTGCGAAACGACGCCGAGCTATGCTATATTGCGAGCTGGGAGGTGCATGTGTTACATATGCGCTGTGTGTATGTGTGTGTGCGTGTGTGTGTGTCTATGTGTGCGCGTGTGTGTTCGTGCGCACGCGCACGCACATTGCCACGGCAGGTGGGCCACTACACAGTTTCTGGCATTTCGGCAGCACGAATAGCAAACCAACCGCGCCCGAGGAACGCGCACCCTACACAATGTAGTACGTATTGTGTTTGCCTATGCGTTATAACCAGTCATGCCTTTAGGCTCGAACGGCACCCAGGACCCGAAAGCCTGCGTTCCAGATTGGAACCTTGATTTTCATACAATCAATACACGTCGTATTTCGCTGTTGCTACAAAACGAAACACCGCCACGGGGCAGGCCGATTGGAGACCCAACGTGCCTTGGTCGATTCCGTAACCAAGATGTGATTCAGTCTCTCCAGCCACCACGGAAACCGCTTGTATAAATACATACCGAAACGAAATACTCCATCCACACATGCTTACATCCAGGCACGCGCACAGCTCGGGGAAAAAAAAATGTCGCGCCTCATGGCGCTAGGCGGCACGTACCCACCGATGGTGCGAAAGAAGTCTTGCAGTATATCACCACTGATGGCCACGAGTGCCTCTGTGCCCAGATCCGTCGTCGAGCTCCTGATGTGATTACAGACATCCACTCTGCGGCCGTAGGTCGGCACGAACATCAACCACAGCATCCATAGAAATGCAAACGTTCTTCCGACGCTACCGAACAACCGTTTCGGCAAGCATATTTGTAGCAAGAGTCGTCGCCAAAGTGAGCCGGCTTGGGCAATATCGGCCACAGCAGTGTAAAGCTCCAATCCTCTCCGAGGAGGACTCGAGTCGCACCAAAGTACAGATCCAAACATTTTGACGTACTGCAGAACTCCCGCCAGAGAAGACAACTGGCCATGCCCAGCCTGTCGCGGGACTTCCTGATCGTCTCGTAGCTCAGATGCGTGAGCGTTGAAAAGATCTTCTGTTGAGTCTTGACGACCCTGGGCTAAGAGTTCGGCGTGTGCCTCGCACGACTCTTCTTTCCGTCTCAAGGCTCTCAAGTGCCGTTCTGCATCCATCCAATTGAAGACGACGTCACACGAGACTGTCCGTCCGAAGCAATTCTGAAGACGAACTTTGAACAGAGGGTGACTGCGGCTGCGTTTCCGAGAGCCTCCATCATGTGCTGCATTTGCTGCTGATTGCGATGGCGCTGCCGGCAACGTCCCCCTCCACTTGGAAATCGTATTCATTTGGGGCCGCCTGCCAGCAGACTCGCATGGTCCAACCTGCGAGTCACTGCAACGACATGGAGGGTATCTGCATGATGCACCACGTGCCTTGCCAAAATAATATGGTGGAGGATACATGGATAGGTGCGCCCTCGACCAGGGCAGCGCCAAGAAGTCCTCCTGCAGGCAGGCTGTGGCCAGCGAGGGCATTAGACTGCTGCTCATGTAGAACTTGCTGCAGCCGAGCCCACACACCCACATGGCTTGACTGACGGCTTCATTCACACGCCAAGCTGAGTCGAACATTAAGCGATCACGCACTGCATGAACAATAAAACCACATGGTGCACCTCGAACCGATTCCTGGGCATGTGAGCACCACTGCTGCGCGAAAGGGCTTAGCACATCAACCTCATTCTCACGTGCCCGAGTCCAGTGCGCAACAACTGCGCAAGTGATCCGAGGTGGTGGCATTTCTAGAACTTCTGTGCCGAACACTTCGTCCAGGTCATCCCAAACATTGCGCAGCCGCCGCCTCTGCCACTCCCGAGCAGCAATTACAAAGAACACGGACCATCGGGACATGGCTGGTAGATCGTGAGCATCGCCCTCAGCCAAGACAGGGACTTCTCTGTCTTGGTCGATGTCCATGGAAATGGTGAGCCAAAACGGCTACGGAGTTTAGGGCTGGGGAGGGTGATTAGTTTAATTATGTTTGATTTGCGTTTGTGAACAGGGCCTGTACGGAGGGAGTGCAAAGGAGGCATTGGCCATGGTGAGATTAGGAGGGCTACGTGCTTACGTCAGGGTGCGAGGGAGGGAGATTTAGGAGGCTGCGTTGAAGTAACGAATATTGGATTGACCTTTGCATGCTTATGAGTGCTAGTGGGAACTAAACGATAACATGTTGATAGAGTGTTTAGTGTCAAATGGTTGGGGTGCGGTTGAGGCTCTGGTTTGTTCTTTGTCGTGCGCACCATGTTGCACACATCCGAGCTTGTCTCGAACGCAAGTCTCGTGGATCAAAGATCAGGCCCGTCAAAATTGACGCAGGGGAAGGAGGGTGGAGAGAGGCAGAATGAAACAGACTGAAATGAAAAGGCGTGGGAACAGGGACGGGCCAGCACTCGGAGCTCTCTCAGTCTGAAGAGGAGCCATCTCCATGCCCTGGCGGCCCGTCCCTGAACCTAGTGTTGGCTGCATCGTCATGCCTGACAGTTGAGACGATGAGCCTACTGATGCATTGCAGTTTTGTCCGCAATGCTTTGATCCGACGAGTCTGCAACTTCACCCTAAAGCTCAAGAGCCTATTCTTGACGCTCAGCTTTGCGATCCGCTTCTCTTGGCGTGTCTGTGGGGCAGCATCCTGGATCGCCTTCGGTGCCATGGCCCGAGCGGTGGAGGCTCTAAGCTCGAAAGAACTGTCGGGGAGACAGAAGGGCCGCACTTCAATCTGTCCTGAGCACAAAAAACGGCAGTGACAAGAGACGGTCGACCAATCAGTTCGACTGTTGGCCGGCCCATCACTGCAAAGTATACCAGTCTTGGTCCACTGTTCAGCGCAACGCCATGTGAAGTTCAGAGCCCTACATCATGCAATAGAATAGTGCCGGCCCAGACTTCAAGATCAATACAACGCATGCTCAATGGGATCCGAATTATCGGTCCACGGTGCAATGCAATACATTGCAAGTCTATGTAGCGTGCCCTATCAGTTTTAAACAGCCTGTGAACGCTTGCAAGCTAACACTCTTGTTCGTCGTACGTCTGATAACACGCTGGGCCCTCTTCATATGATATGGAGTTGGACGAAATTTGAGGGGAAGGGGGAGGTGTTGACGGGGGCGCTCTCGAGGGCCTTGGCGGGATGAGGCCTGGTTTGGGGAGTTGAAGGCGCAAGCCCTGGTTTCACTATCTTCCTCCTCCTCCTCCTCCTTCTTCTCCTTTTCCTCCTCCCTCTCCTCCTCCTCCTCCTCCTCCTCCTCCTCCTCCTCTTCCTCCTCCACCTTCTCCTCCTCCTCCTCCTCCTCGTCCTCCTCCCTCTCCTTCTTCTCCTCTCTCCTCCGTCTCCTCCTCCTCCTCCTCCGCCTCCTCCTCCCCCTCCTCTCCTCCTCCTCCTCCTCCTCCTCCTCCTCCTCCTCCTCCTCCTCCTCCTCCTCCTCCTCCTCCTCCTCCTCCTCCTCCTCCTCCTCCTCCCCCTGACCAGCATTGCGAGGCAAGCCTGGCGGCGGCGACGAGGGCTTCCAAAGGAGGCCCAGAGCGGCATGGGCACTCCGAGTCCCATCACAAAACGGAGGCGGTCTTATCGGAGCTGTCTTGGAGGGTTCCAAAGGGGTCTGGGGAACAGGCCGCCCTTTCACGGCTGGTCTGGGGGGGGTCTGAAATAGCTCGTCAGGGAGGGCTATGACCCCCCACTTCCTGATCTGGGGCATCCAAGACGGGGGTGCACAAAGCATGACCCGAGGCACGTGCACGGCACAGGCCGGGGGAGGGCAGGGGACGCATTGAAATTAGAACAGGCGCCATAAAATCTGCATAGATATCCTGGCCCCCGCCATGATATCCCCCCACCCCCAGAAATCACCCCCCGCGATATTCTGAAATCTGGGGTGCCTTTCCCTCGTATTCCCAGGCAGTGACAGCGCTGTGGGGGATATCATGGGCCCCGCCATGAGATCCCCCCCAATAATCATCCTCCGCTTTGCCGCCCCCGATAGCCTGAAATCTGGGGTACCTTTCCCTCGCAGTGCCACACAGTGACAGCGCTGAGGCAGATATCATGTCCCCCGCCATGAGTTCCCCCCTCCAGTAATCACCCCCCGCATTGCCGCCCGACATCTGGAAAACCGTTCCCTCGCAGCGGCACGCAGTGACAGCGCTGGGAGGGGATATCATGGCCCCCACCATCATATCCCCCGCCGTCAGCACCCTCCGCTTTGCCGCCCCCGACATTCTGAAATCTGGCGAACCTTTCCCTCGCAGCGCCACGCAGTGACAGCGCTTGGGGGGGATATCGCCGCCCCCGCCATGAGATCCCCCCCAGCAACCCCCGATATACTAAAATCTGGTGTACTTTTCCCTCGCAGTACAACGCAGCGATAGCGCTGTGGGGGACATGATGGCCCCCGCCATGCGAGCCCCCCCCCAATAATCGCCCCCCGCTTTGCCGCCGCCGAAATCCTGAAATCTGGAGCATCTTTCCCTCGCAGTGCCACGCAGTGACAGCGCTGGGGAGGGCATCGATCCCCCCCCACGCCATGACCCTCTCCCCCGCCAGCCCCCAGAAATCACCCACCGCTTTGCCGCCCCCGATATTCTACTATCTTGAATACCTTTCCCTCGTCGCAGCACCACGCAGTGACCGCGCCAGGGGGGGGCGGCATCAGGGCCCCCGCCATGACCCTCCCCAGTGATCAACCCCCGCTTTGCCGCCCCCGATATTCTGAAATCTGGAGCACCTTTCCCTCGCAGCGCCACGCAGCGACAGCGCTGGAGGGGATAGCATGGCCCCCGCCATGAGATCCTCCACTCCCCCTCTCCAGGAATCACCCCCCGCCTTGCCGCCTCCGGTATAGCAAAATCTAGAGTACCTTTCCCTCGCAGTGCCACGCAGTGACAGTGTTGGGGGTGATACCACGGTCCCCGCCACGACATCCCCCCTGTCATCGCCCGGTGCTTTGCCGCCCCTGCCCACCCCACCCCGAGTAATCACCCCCCGCTTTGCTGCCCCCGACACTCTGACATCTGGAATACATTTCCCTGGCAGTACCACGCAGTAACAGTGCTGCGGGGGACATCATGGCCCCTGCCACGATACCCCCCCCCCAATGATCACCTCCCGTTTTGCCGCCCCCGATGTGCGGAAGTCTGGAGTACCTTTCCCTCGTAGCGCCACGCGGTGACAGCGCTGGGGGGGGGGGCGCCATCACCACCGCCATGATACCCCCCCCAAAAAAAAAACAATCGCCCCCCGATTTGCCGCCCCCGACATTCTGGCATCTGGCGCACCTTTCCCTCGCAGGGCCACGCAGCGACAGCGCTGGGGGACGATATCATAGCCCCCGCCATGACCCCCACTCCCGCCCCCCCAGTCATCACCCCCCGCCTTGCCGCCCCCGATATTCGGACATCTGGAATACACCCCTCGCAGCGCCACGCAGCGACAGCGCTGGGGGGCGCCGCCACGGCGCCCGCCACGGCGCACCCAAAAAAAAAACGAAACCACCCACCGCTCTGCCGCCCTCGACTTCTTTAATCTGGAGCACTTTCCCCTCGCCGCGCCAAGAAGTGACAGCGTTGGAGGAGATATTATGGCCCCCGCCTTGAGACCCCCCCTCCCCCACAACAAAGAATCGCTCCCCGCTTTGCCGCCCCCGACATTTTGAAATCTGGGGCACCTTCCCCTCGCAGCGGCACGTAGTGACAGCGCTGGGAATGGGGGGGGCGGCACATCATGGCACCCGCCGCGATACCCGCCGCCCCCTTCCCCCGGCAATCGCCTCCGCTTTGCCGCCCCCGATATTCTAAAATCTGTGGCACCATTCCCCCGCAGCGTCACGCAGTGACAACGCTGGGGAAGCATCACGACCCCAGCGAAAATACCCCCCCCATGCCCCCCCCCCCTCAGTAATCACCCACCGCCTTGCCGCCCACGCATTCTGACATCTGGAGCACCTTTTTCCTCGTAGCGCCACGCGGCGACAGCGCTGGGGGAGATATCGTGGCCGACGCCACGATAGTCCCCCACCCCCCTACACCCCGGCAAGCCCCCCCCCGAGCTGCCGCCCCCCAGCGAGCACACCCCGCCATGATACCCCCCCCGCCCCCCCCGTCTCCCCCATCATCGCCCCCCGCTCTGCCGCCCCCGATATTCTGAAGTCTGGAGCACCATTTTACCTCGCTGTGCCACGCAGTGACAGCTGTGACAGCGTCGGGGAAGGAGATTTCAGCCCCCGCCATGACCCCCCCTTCCCCCCAGGAATGGCCCACCAATTTGCCGCCTCCACCATTCTGAAATCTGGGGCACATTTCCCTCGCACTGCCACGCTGTGACAGCGCTGGGGGGACATCATGCCCCCCGCCACTGCGCTACCACTCCTACTACTACTACCACCACCACCACCACCACCACCACCACCACACCACCACCACCACCACCACCACCACTACATATACTACTACTACTACTGACTACTACTACGACTACTATGACTACTACTATTAACATACTCTACTACTACTACTAACTACTACACTACTACTACTACTACTACTACTACCTACTACGAACTACACTACGCCTACGACTACGACTACGCCTACGACTACGACTCGACTACGCTACGACTACGACATACGACTACGAACTACGACTACGACTACGACTCGACTACGACTACTACTACTACTACTACTACTACTACTACTACTACTACTTACTACTACTACTTCTACGTCGTTCTACTATCTACTACTAACTACTACACTACTACTACTAATACTACTACACTACTACTACTCTACGCTGCTGCTACTATTACTACTACTACTACTACTACTACTGTTATTACTACTACTACTACTAACTACTACTACTACTACTACTACTACTACTAACTACTACACGACTAACTACTACTAACTACGACTACTACTACTACTACTACTACTCCTAAACCACCACCCACCACTACTACTACTACACTACTATACTACTACTAACTACTACTACTACTACTACTATACTACTCTACTACTACTACTACTACTACTACGACTACGAACTACGACTCGACTACTACTACACTAACGACTACTCTCTATACTACTACTACTACTACTACTACTACTACTACTACTACCTACTACTACTACTACTAACCACACTACCCACTAAAAAAAACTACAACTACTACCTACTACTACCACTACTACAGTGCCATGCTGTGACAGCGCTGGGTGGGGGGGGGGGGCACCGTGGCCCCCGCCATAATATCCCCGCCCCACCTTCCCCAGGAATCAAACCTTATTCGCCACCATTTATATTCTGGCATATCGGGCAACTTTCCCTCGCAGTGCCACGCTGTGACAGCACTGGGGAAGACATCGTGGCCCCCGCCATGATATCCCACCCAGGAATGGCCCCCCGCTCCGCCGCCCCCGATATTTTGAAAACTGGGGCACGCCCTGCTCGCAGTGCCACGCAGCGACTGCGCTGGAGGTCATGGCATGGCCCCCGCCATGATTTTCAACCTTCCCACCCTCCGCCCGCCTTCCCCCTCCGCCCCCGCCTCCGCCCCCGCCCCCGCCCCCGCCCCCGCCCCCTCCTTCCCAAGAATCACCCGACCCCCCGCTCTGCCGCCCCCGACATTCCGACATTCTGAAATAAGCACCTTTCCCTCGCAGCGCCACGCAGTGACAGCGCCAGGGAAAGATCATGGCCCCCGCCATGACTCCCCCCCCCCGCTCCCTCCCCCCTCCTCCACCCCACCCCGCCCCAAGGAATCACCCCCCGCATTGC